CTCAGGTGCCTGGAATATTGGCTAAGAAAATTGTTCTGTGACCCTGGGCCACTCAGATCATTTTTTTTTTTTGAGACCCAGCTTTCTTATCTGTGAAGCTAATCACATATTTTTTCCATTGTGACTAATGCAGAGACTAATTTAAATAAATTATTATTATTTTTAATTGGTTGTTCACAACATTACAAAGCTCTTGACATATCATATTTCATACATTAGATTGAAGTGAGTTATGATGATTCTGCAGTCTGCATTTGGGGTAGAATTGGGAGTTCATAAATAAATTATTTTAAAAAAGTTGAAATCCCTCCAGGTAATTGGTTCTAATACAGTGTTGCTAAATGTGTGTATGTGTGTGTATGTATAAATAAACTGGATAAAAATGCCTTATATAACGTTCATGGGATCATAAAACCAAGAAGAAATTATAAACCAATATGATTCCAAATGGGTACTATCACAGGAGACAATGATGTCTTGCTGAGTTGAAATCTTTGGCAGCATGAACATAAATCCATGCTGGGACCTGTTGCTTTTTAAAAATTATATTTAATTGAAACACAGTAGTTGTACATATTTAGAGGGTACAGTGTGATATTAGCTACCTTACTATATTATCAAATAGTAGAACTTATTCCTTACTGTAACAGTATTCTTTTTTTATTTTTATTTTTTGCAATTTGTTATATATGACAGCAGAATGCATTATAATTCATATTACACATATAGAGCACAATTTTTCATATCTCTGGTTGTATATAAAGTATATTCACACYATTTGTGTCTTCATAATAAATATCATATATGTAGTTACGGTAATGATGTCCATCTCATTCCACCATCTTTTTTACTCCCTTTTCCCCTTCCTTTCCCCTCCCATTCACCAACCTTTCCCTAGTGTGTCTCACTGCCATGGGCCACTGCCTCTCCACATCCCCAAGGCTCTTTGCAGGCCCAGACTCTGGTACCCATTATTCTATTTTCTGCCCCAGTGAGATTGGCTTACTTAGTATCCACCTATCAGCGAGATCCTATGCCATTTCTCTTTCTGTTCCTGGTTTCTTTCACTTAACATAATATTGGAGTCTTTCTGTGTGAAGTGGCTTAGGCTGCTTATGACTCAGTTCTTGCAGCCCCGGGTACCAGTGTCATTATGATGTTTCTTGGCATTCCTCTGGAAAGAACACATTSTTTACTTCTTTCATTGAGTCCTGTCCTTTTCTCATCAGCTTGGCAATCAATCTAAGACACCTTCCTGAATTTGACAGTGGAAGCAAACCTAAGAGTGGGTCCTGAAATTGCACAGAAATTTCAGTTACAAGACAGTGCAAAGAAAAGACCCAGACTATATTCTTATTAATTTTTTTATACAATTTCACTGAAATGAAAACATGGTTTAAGGCATGAAGCACTCAAAGAAAGGACTGCATAATTGAATATCTCCTGGGGCATCCTTCCCATTGCAGTTTATGTAAATGCTGTCCTGGCACTGTGCCCCATCATCCACCTGGCAGAAATAGCCCATAGGGTCTGCTGCCTCTGTTCTAACTTCCCTCCTTTCTGAGACCCCCTCTTTCCCCAAGCCAAATTTTTTTGAAAGTTACAAATATAGAGAGGGGAAGACATAAGAATTATTTTTACCTATTTCAGATTAACAGATTAACACAGAATTCTGCCTGTTCAGAGGATGAGATGGTCCTCATTATTCATCTAATTGAAATCATGTATGCAATGTATTCTCCTGAAGACATTTATAAACACAAGTGGAATAAGCTGTTTTATTGTGGCCAAGTTCAATGAAATTGTATAGCCCCTCAATTTATTTTGGGGTTGGAATGTATTTTTGTGTGGTCCTTATGTCTGTACCTATTTTTGTTTTTAAACTTCTCTTTTGGTACTAGGGATGGAACCCAGGGGTGCTTAACCACTGAGCCACATCCCCAGTCCCTTTAAAAAAAAATCTATTTTTTTTTTTTTTTTGAGGCAGGGACTTCCTAAGTTGCTGAGGCTGGCTTTCAACTTGAGATCCTCCTGCCTCAGCATCCTAGCCACTGGGATAATAGGTATGCACTAGTGCAATCAGTGTTCTCTGTATCATTTTTATGTAATTTTTAAATTTATATATGACAGCAGAATGCATTACAATTCTCATTACATATATACAGCACAATTTTTCATATCTCTGGTTGTATACATAGTGTATTCACACCAATTCGTGTCTTCATACATGTACTTTGGATAGTAATGGTCATCACATTCCACCATCATTAATTACCCCTTGCCCCTACGGTTCCCCTCCAACCCTTTGCCCTATCTAGTGTTTGTCTATTCCTCCCATGCTCCTTCTCCCTATCCCACTGTGAATCAGCCTCCTTATATCAAAGAAAACATTCAACATTTGGTTTTGTGGGATTGGCTAACTTCACTTAGCATTATCTTTTCTAACTCCATCCATTTACCTGCAAATGCCATGATTTTATTCTCTTTTATTCTGAGTAATATTCCATTGTGTATATATGCTACATTTTTTATCCAATCATCTATTGAAGGGCATCTACTTTGGTTCTAGAGATTAGCTATTGTGAATTGTACTACTATAAACATTGATGTGGCTGTGTCCCTGTAGTATGCTGTTTTTAAATCCTTGGGGTATAGACCGAGGAGACGGACAGCTGGGTCAAATGGTGGTTTCATTCCCAGTTTTCCAAGAAATCTCCATACTACTTTCCATATTGGCTGCACTAATTTGCAGTCCCACCAGCAATATATGAGTGCACCTTTTTCCCCACATCCTCGCCAATACTTATTGTTGTTTGTATGCATAATAGCTGCCATTCTGACTGAAGTGAGATGAAATCTTAGAGTGGTTTTGATTTGCATTTTTCTCTTTATCATTTTTCAAGGCCTTTTCTTGTGAACTGATAGTGCATCTTTTAGGCATAAACACCAGAAATAAGAAAGAAGGGGAAAGGGGAGGGAGAGTAGTGTACTGAGTTGCTTAATAACTAAATAGCAACCATATAACTGGAAAACAACAGAGCACATATCTAGATAACTATTGTGATTGTTGAGAGTATTTTAGTCCTCTGCCCTGTTTGATTACTTTTTAGCTTATACAATTCATTTGGTGATCCTGGGAATAATTTTTGTTTCCTCCTAGCAGAGAACTTTCCTTGTAAGAGTATTATAATATTAACACACCCAGATTCTTAGATGCATTTGATTGTTAATTTGTTTTGAGAGTTATTATAATAATATAGTTCTTATTGGTGTATGTATGTATAAATGTATGCATGTAATTTGGTGCAAATTATAAGCAGTGGTGGCTGTCATAGGTCAGACATACTTAAAACCCCAAAACTTTCCTCTATAATTTTCATGTGTGTATTTCTCCTAGTACATTAAGATAACCACTGGCAATTTTTAATTCAGTGATATTCATTTTTTTCTTCTGGTAATGTTGCTTAGGCTATATTATTTTTAGCAAATCCTCCTGRTGTATAAGCAAATGTTAAATGCAGTATGAGTATGATATCCTTATGTTTTTTTTTCTGATCATTTCTAATTTGGAGATTCTTGGATTTACAATGACTGAAATGTAACCTATAAGTATATATATAGTCTGATCTTCAAGGATCTTTTTGTCCACACCATTGTTTGTATCCACACCAATGTTTCCAAAATGTTTTCTCATAGAGTAAATGATGAGCTTACTTCTTTGTCATTAAAACTATTTTGTTAGTTCATTTAAAAAAAATAAATATTAGACTTGTATTTTATTTTTTGGATATAGATGAAATATAATTTAATGTGAATTTTGTGTCTTATGTTTATTATGTTTTTGAGTGATCTCACTCAGATGACAAATAGGACTTTTGGCTCTGATTCTACCTGCATGAGACTCATTTGCTTTATTCTTCTCTCTCCTGTTTGTAGTTCTGTTCCTGCTCTGCTCTATCAGTGATCCTATCTGCCAAGATGTTCTCAGGACTACTAATACATGTTTGCCTGAATTTGTTATTGATTTTGTTATAGCAGTTGCAAGTGAACTCTTGTATGTGAATACAGTTGCTCACATACTATCTTTCATGTAACTGTGTATGCTAGTAGTAGAAAACACTTCCTGCATATTAACATAGTACTTTCAGGACTTTGTTTATCTTAATGTAAACAAGTATGTTTGTGTTGTACACTGTCTGATACTATGCTATTAAAAAAAGGAAGCATTTTATTTAATAAAATTCTTCAATAGAATAGCTAAATATTATCTAGATTTTGTATTTTTTATTTAGGAGATACAAGTAGGTTATATGCAATTTGTTTAGTTGCTTAGATTTGATCTTTTAATAATTTATATAATATGTTATTTAGAAATATATAGAAACAGTAATCATTGTTGGCCCTCTCTGTTGGGTATGCATGCACTGTTAGCTCATTTAGTCCTTGAAGTACCTTTAGGATAAAGTATATTATTTCATYGTTAGTACAGTAAAGAGAGATGAGAAGCAGAGGAGAACGGGGTATCCTACCAACAGCCACACAGATAATGATGGAGAAGCCCACATACACGTTCTGGCAGATCTCAGAACTGACCCTGTATCACATCTTCTTCACCATAAACTGTTTTATAGGAACAAGGGAGCCGAGTGTGGTGGCACATTTCTGTAATCCCAGTGACTCAGAAGGCTGAGGCAGGAAGACTGCAAGTTCAAAGCCAGCCTGAGCAATTTAGTGAGACCCTAAGAATTTAGCAAGACTCCTAAACCACTTTGGCTCAGTGGTTTAATCCCTGGCCCCTAAATAAATAAATAAATAAATAAATAAATAAAATCAATAAAATAAAGGAACGAGTGGAATTTGTATTTGCCATTCTGAGCTATTTAAGAAGCCACCTTCTATTCTTCAATCTTTGAGATTTAATTACCTTTATCTTAACATACAGTTTTAGACATCAGCATCCACATTTTAAACATAATGCTTTTTTTTATTTGTGTTTTTAGATATGCCTCTTCATGTCCGACGAAGCAGTGACCCAGCTTTAATTGGCCTCTCCACTTCTGTCAGTGATAATAATTTTTCTTCCGAAGAGCCCTCAAGGAAAAACCCTACMCGCTGGTCAACAACAGCTGGCTTCCTCAAGCAAAACCCTGCTGGTAGTCCCAAAGCCTGTGACAGAAAGGTAACCACCTCTCCTTTTTTGCTGCCACCTTTGCATCTCTTGTCTTCTTGGTGTCCATGATAAGTGTCTTGTTGGGTRGACTTTTTGCTCCTAGGGCTTGCTTGCTCTGGCCATTTGTGGTTATATTATTGACTTTCACATCAAAGTTCAGACAACCTATTTTGTATCATGCTTGAATTTTCTGATAAAATTCAGTGATGGGTATAGTATATATGTTTTATTTAGGATAGTGCTCTCCCAGTGAGCTACATCCCCAGCCTTGTATCCATATTTTGCCTTGATATTGTGTTCTTATGGTTAAAAAGGAAAAGTTTTGACCAGGTGYTTTGGTGCATACCTGTAATCCCAGCTTCTGGGGAGACGGAGGCAGGAGGAATGGCAAGTTCAAGGCCAGACTCAACAACTTAGCAAGTTCCTGTCTGAAAAAGGGGGGGGGAAAGGCAGTGGGTGAGGTGGGATGGGATGGGGCGTTAGGGATATAGCTCATTGGTTAAGTGTCTTTGAGTTCAATCCCCAGCACCAAATAATATAAAATAAATAAAAAATTAAAGAATAGAAAAAGGAAAAATTTCAGCATGAAATGTGTACCATGTAAAATCCTTTTCCTCTTTTTGCCTTTGGTCACGTTTCTYTACATAGGTAGCTCCTTTATTTGTTTTTTTATAAGTTTGTCCTTACAAGGACATTTTACCCTCATATAAGGAAATATTCACATTGGCTTATAAGGTACATTGAAACAGTTTTAGCATTATGGACTTTAAGGATGAAAGTGGACTTCGTGGTACTTTATTCTGAATCKATCATTTTTCCCCATATCCCTTTTAGATGGAAGTGAGCTGTCCAGGCAATGTAATTTGCTTMCTTGACCTAATTTATTTGAGTCTTTGACCTAATTTATTTAGTCCAAATAAATATACTTTAGTCTATGTGATTTACTTTTTTAAAATATTTTTTTGGTTGTAGATGGACACAATATCTTTATTTTAGTTACTTATTTTTTATGAGGTGCTGAAGATTGAACTTAGTGCCTCATGCATGCAAGGAAAGCACTCTACCAGTGAGCTACAACCCCAGACCTGTGGTCTACTATTAAAAGTTTATTTTTTATTCCTACAGAAGCATGTCTGTAGCCTTTTTCTTTACCCAGTGAGGTTTAAGTTATGTTTATTGTTTTCACTGCTGAATCTCTTGAATGGATGCTCCATGAATATCTGTTGAATGATTTAATAAATATTTTTCAATGTTGTCAGTAACTTAACATAGTTGTGAGAAATATGGAAATCGTATTAATCACATTAATATCAAAATGGATATAGTTTGAGATTTGCTTCATTTATCCTTTACATCTGTGTAAAAATACCTATTAAATATTTAATTTTGTTTTGTGTTTCAACAGATTCTTTTCTATTAGTTCAAGTAAAAAAAAAAAAAAAGAAAAGAGAAAACACCTGGAATATATAAGTTGAAACTGAGAAGAATGTTCTAGGAAAAATAATGTGTACTTTAGTTTCTGATTTTTTTGTACTAAGGATTTTACTGTTAAGGTCAATCTCCCAAAATATTTTGTTCTTACAGATTCTATGAGGATCCACTTTGAATTGTTTTCTTTTTAAGATCAGCTAGAAATTTTAGCTGACTCTGTCATGCAGTTGACTATCCAAAGAAGGGGAATCCAATTTCTGAATTGGTTTCATAATACTAATTTTTGTTTAGAATAGATCCAATTTACATGTGATTCACAAATGTACAAAAAATTCAAGTTTGCAATTTAAAAAAATAATTTCAATATTGTTTTCATGAGTTGAAGGATGACATTATAGTAAATATGGTTTTATTTATTTTTTCATTCAACATCTTTGGTATATGAGCAATTTCAGTTATAGCAAACAGACCAATTTTTTCAACTTCCCACATTTTTTAAAATTTATGCATGATAGTTGAACATAATAATGGGATTTGTTGCTTCATATTTGTACATGCACACAATATGACAGCATAATTTGGCCAGTATTGCTCCCCAGGTGCTCGTCTCTTGTCCCTCTCCTCTACTGATCTCCCTTTGATTTTCATGAGATCCCTGTCCCCACCTTTCTTTTCCTTTTTCCTCTCTAGCTTCCACATAAGAGAAAAACTTAGAACCTTTGACCTTCTGAGTCTGGCTCATTTTGCTTAACATAATGGTGTATAGTTCATTCATTTTCCTGTAAATGACACAATTTCTTTTTTCTTTGTGGCTGAATAAAACTTCATTGTGTGTATGGCATTTTCTTTACCCATTCATCTGTTTATGAACCCCTAGGCTGGTTGCATAGTTTGACTATTGTGAATTGTGCTGATATATACATACGTACACAGTGTAAATACTGATGGGTGATACAGCTGTGTTATATGATGGTTCCATATCTAGTCGTTTGAGAAATCTCCATATTGACTTATTTAGTGGTTGTGCTAATTTACAATACCACCAACACTGTATAAGTGTAGACCAATTTTTAACATAAAACATTTTGATCATGCATGGAATTAATACTTTATTATTATTATTATTATTATTATTATTATTATTATTATTAACAAAACACTGGAGAGATCACAGACAATGAAAACTGGAGCAATGCACATTTGGCCTGCCTCTATGAAGAGGCAGGGCTTCAGCCCTCCTCTGGTCTACATGCTGTCTCCAGGTGTGCTAACATTGCCTTTCCTTACCTGGCAAACTGGAGACTGAACCTAGAAAAGCTGTCATCTAAGAAACTTTCTTTTTATGACTGCCATTAAATCTCATACTTCTGAATCTGAGGAGGTAGAGTGCAGTTTGTGTCCAGACCCTCACTTGCAGGAAAGTCTAAAGATAGAGCTTTGCCTTCCAGCTTCTGAGCAGAGGAAAGTGAGAGGAGGGTTTAGATGCTCACTTCCAATCATCCACATCCACCTCACTGGTTGTGCTTTAAGTAATGTGAGTCTGTCATTGTAAAACACTGGAAAGTAGTCAAGATGAACCAAATGAAATTATCGATGACTATAAACCCCAGCAACAAGCAGTATTAAATGTTAGTGAATTTTGTGTGTCTGTTTGTGAGAGACAGGGAGAAAGGGAAGGAAGAAAGGAGAGAGGGAGATTGAGAAAGAGGAGAAGGGAATGGGCATAGCAAAAAGAKATATTCTTCCAAGGAATGTCCTCCGAGGCCTATTTTCTCCAACTAGGCTTTAACTCCTGCAGTTTCCACCACCTCAAAATAATGCTGCCAAATTATTATTCTATTACTGGATTAATCCACTGATGAGGTCAGAGTCCTCATCTTCTAATCACCTCCCAAGAGCCCTGCCTCTGAACACTGTTGCACTGGGGACTAAGCCTTCAACACAGGCGTCTTTAGGGAACACTTTGTAYCCAAACCATAACACTTATTTTCAGTTATAAAAAGACTTTCCATCTTCTTAATATTCAGAAAGGAGGTTGGAGGAAAGCATACTTGCTGATTAGGCACAAAGCATTAAGTATATTTATTTCTGTAGAGTCCACGAGAGCTTACTTACGCTGGGTAATTTGAAGATGTTATAAATTCTCGTCAATTGGTAGTGGTTTAGGTTTTCATACACATAAATTAGTTAAATGTTTTTAGTCTTGTGATTTGTTGATCCTTAATGGTTAAAATCAGTGAAAATTCTCGAATGTTCAGTGTAGAACTTGTCTACATTGTTATGTGGTTTATATTCTTCCACATTGTGTAAGCACMACAAATAATTCCAGAACAATGCACCCATCTCATAAAATTTCTTATTCATGAGCAGGAAAGTTCCATTCTGATATGTTTGAACAACTATTGTGTCTAACCCCCTCCTATGATTCTACCCCACAAAATGAGAAGTAGAATCTTTCTAGTTGAAATAGTGACAATATTTTACTTCACTAAAAAATTGAAAGGCGATATAAACAGACTTTGATGATGGATGGTGCTAAGCCTGCCKCAAGCTTGGAGAGGCTAAGGGTTGTTCTCTGGGCTTGTGGATTTGATAAACTTTTTCATGCTTTTATTTGGGGGCAAGATATAGAGTCCAGGTAGTTTGCTTTCCTTATAGTTCTTTGGGATATTTGCTCATTCCTGTTTCCAGCATTTTGGAGTGGACTACCTTTTCCATTGCTCATTGCTGTTTCCTTTCATTTTGTGGAAARTATCTTGCTAGAAAGCTGTATTTTCATTTGAGATTTTATGTGTGCTTAATATTTCGTCTTTGGAAACAAAGTTTAGTATTTTTTTTAATTGTAGATGGACCTTTTATTTTATTTATTAATTTATTTATATACGGTGCTGAGAATTGAACCCAGTGCCTCACACATGCTACGTAAGCACTCTATCACTGAGCTGCAACCCCAGCCCAAGATTTATTATTTTAGTCACTGTGAATACTTAAATCATTTTGTCACCTCTTTGGTCTTCCTTAGTCAGTGTCACAGTGACTGAAGAGGCCAAATCGTGTGTGGAGGAGTCTTTGATTTGTCTCATCAAAAAAGACATAATGAGGCACTTAGCAGAACCAGCTCACCGGGAAGTTCCAAGGATAAAGACTCTGTATTATTTTTACTGATCATTTGTCACAAGCCATTGTTTCTTTCCCCTAAATAATGACAGATGTTGCTTTTCTAAATTATATATCCTCTTTCCTTAAAAAAACAAAATAAACCTAAGTAGATTTWGATTCTACTTAAAAACTGTGTTGACAACTTTCCAAGAGAGATTCTTACCTGATTAAGAGGAAGAAAGAAAACATATTGCATTGGCATTACTAGCTTCTTTTTTTTTTTTTCCTTTGTCCAATTTCTCAATGAGAGAACTTGGAATATTTTTGTTTCCCCAGGTTTATTATTTTTGTTTGCTTTAGTTGCTTGGTGTATTTGGTGTGTTTCCAATATCTCCTGATACCTGCACCCTCTTGGAAGAGATGCTTTCTTAATTACATCTCTGTCATCTTTTCTTTCCTCTCTCTTAGAAAAGTGGGCT